GTTTACGTTGTAGTTGTTGTTGTTAATTTTGTTGCTAATGTTGTTAGTGTTGTTGCTAGTCTTGTTGTTGCTGTTGTCGATCCTAATGTTTTGTTGACTAGCTGTGGTTTACATCAGCTGTTTTGATTAGTAGCTGTGCTTCTTAGTAGCTCCGGCGTTTATCAGCTGCGTTGTTTAGCGGCTGTGTTAAGGTTGCACTCATTCATTCATTCATTTATTCATTCATTTATTCATCCATCCATTCATTCATCCATTCATTTATTCATTCGTATCAAAATATTTTTTGTTATTCGCTTCTTTTTTGTTAGCAGAACAAACCGGCGGAAGTTATTGCCAATACTAGTTAAATAGTAGTTATAAACCAGAATATTTTGAAATGAGTATGCGTGGATGTGCGTGTGTGTTTGTGTGTGTGTGTGCGTGTGTGTATGTTGTGGTTTTAAGAAGACTGACAAACAATAATTTGCCTGTTTGTTTAATTTTCTTTCATGGCCACATAGATTAACAAGTAAGCGATCAGATGAGTTAAGGAGAATGATAATGGTTATATGATTATTACGACGATGATGACGATTGTGATGGTGATGAAGATGATGATGATGAAAGTGAGGATGAAAAAGTTGATGATGGTGGTTAAGATGATGGCGGTAGTGATGATGATGATGAAGAAGAAAAAGATGATAAAAAGCATGATACAAATGATTATAAAGATGATGATGAAGATGGAGACTTTTACGACATCATGCAAATGATTAAGTTAAATGTAAATTCTAAATGTTTATAGGTATGTTGTACATGAACATACACCTCTGCTGTTAAGACATCCCAAAATAATCACCAATTCAAATCCATTCTCAACGCATATTTCAACCTTCTAACGACTTGTTATTTACCAAAATATGCAAATTTACCAAAAAAAAATGATGAACTTAAAATATTAAAAAAAAAGAATAAAAGAATAAAATGTAAAAAAAGTTTATTTTAAAAATTATTTCTCAAATATAAGAAATTTTATATAAAAATTCTGTGATATTTCACTATTGAACGGTGTTTATGAAACCTGAAAAATTTCTCAACGTGGTTTTACCTTCAAATTAATTTTTTCTTTTAAAGATTGGTGATTTTTTTCTTCTGCAAAGTTTATTTTTTATTAATTTCATTTAATTTGTCAATAGGTGTAAAAACGCGATGTTAAAAAATTAACAAACGCTTGCTAATCAGTCATTCTATCATTCCTTTCATTCATCCACAATAAATTTTTTTGCAGAATATTGAAGGTGACGACGACGATGATGATAGTGATGATGATGATGGTGACGATGATGATGATGATAATGATGGTGACGACGATGATGATAATGATGATGATGATGATGATGATGATGGCACTACTTACAGGACAAAATTTTCTTCCTCAGCTGTTGTAATGGTGTAGTTGTTAGGATTTAAAATTGAATTCAATCGCCGCACACTATCTAGCTATCATGTGATTTTTGTTAGAAATAATAAAATATTTTTGTTTATAATAATAATAATACTACTACTACTACTAATAATAATAATATTTATTATTATTATAGTAATAATAATAACCATTGGATCATTAAATGATACTTCTAGAGCCATTAAATTTATTTTTCACTTGTCATTTTTCTAGAGAATAATTTTTTACTGTTACTGTTGTTAATAATAATAATAATTTATTATTGTTATTATTATCATTTTTAGTTGTTCATTCATTCATTTATTCATTCATTCATTCATTCACTCACTCACTCATTCATTCATTTATTCATTCATTCACTCACACACACTCACACACTCATTCACTCACTCACTCATTCATTCATTCATTCACTCACTCACTCATTCATTCATTTATTCATTCATTCACTCACACACACTCACTCACACACTCATTCACTCACTCATTCATTCATTTATTCATTCATTCACTCACACACACTCACTCACACACTCATTCACTCACTCACTCACTCACTCACTCACTCATTCATTCATTCATTCATTCACTCACTGGTTTATTCATTGTTAGTCATTCAGCTCTTGCTGAACTTTTTTTAGACATGTTTGGGTTTTTTGTTATTTTTGCGTGTCTACGTTTGTCTTTGTGTGTGTGTACGTGTGTGTGTGTCTCTTTGTTTGTGTGTGTTTTAATTGAAGGCACGTGTGTGTGTGTTGTTTGTGTGTTTAAGGACTTGTGTGCTGTGTGTGTGTATGTGTATGGATGTTTATGGATGTATAAAACTTATGTATTAAAATATTTAAGTGGGTATTTATACCCGAGTGTGTATATTCATGATACTACATACATCTAGATATAACGCTAACATTTTTCGTCTGTAGCAAATGTTTCTATATATATATATATATATATATATATATATATATATATATATATATATATATATATAAATGTTACATATTCATCACATTACATGGTCCTGAAAATGAAAAAAAATCACGGAGATTCTTTCGTTAAACATCTCGTCTTGGATGGATCATCTGCAGGGATGTATTCAGTTGCAGCAGCCAAGACTTGGGACTAATTGTTACTTGATTTTAAAGTTGATTGATACTACTACCATTTAGTCAATCAGGTGCTCGAATACCACTTGAAACTACATTTCTACGAATGGCAAGTAGAGACGCATTTTGTGTTCTAATGGCCTTCGCACTGGTGATCTCACGTACAACATTTCAAGTGGTTATTAAAAATTTAAAGAGGTAAAAACAACTTTTATATATAGATATTTGCGAAAAAAAAATACTGAAAAGTTCCGTAAAAATTGTTAGAAAATAAATTAACGAAAAAAATTTTATCAGTCAATAATAAATTTGCCTTGCACCCACACATTCAATATTATTTATGTAAAAATAGAATCTCTTATTTATTTATTTTATTTATTTATTTATACTTGCTCGCTGATTTAATTTTTATGAACGCAGTCCCACAAAAAAAATGTCAGAGGTACATATTTTGCATAATTTCGACGGGCTATATTTATTTATCTGCATCATACAGTCTTTTTGTGTATGTATGTTTGTGTGTGTGTGTATGTTTGTGTGTGAGTGTATGTGTGTGTAAGTGTATGTGTCGTGTGTGTGTGCGTGTGAGTGTATGTGTGTCGTGTGTGTGAGTGTGGGTGTGTGTTTTTATTTATTGTACTCATTAGGCTAACTTATGTCAGCTGATTTCAAATGTTAATTTTTGTTGCAGCGTATAATTTTTTAGCGGCAGAAGAAATTTGTACGTGTGTTGGTTATTTTGTGGTTGTGGTGGTGATGATAATAATAGTAATAATAATAATAATTCGATAATGATTATGATGATGATTATGAAGATGATGAGAAAGATGATGATGAATCTTGGCCGATGGTAATGATGTTGTGGTTAATATGATGATGAGGATGGTGATAATGAACAATGATGATGTCAACACCATTGTCAGTAGTAACAGTACAATGTATTTATAGTGACTAGTTTTTATGCTGCTCTGCTGATGATAAAAGCGACGGTAAAGTTGTCGTGATTTACTCACACAATCAACTTTAAAAATTTTTGGTAAAGAGAAAAGAAAATGATCGATTGGTGAGATACTGTGGGGAGATACTACTAACCAGAGAGAGAGAGAGAGAGAAAGAGAGAGAGAGAGAGAGGGAGAAGAAAGGTTGAGAAAAGGTTGAAATGTGAAATTGATGTTTTTACAATTTAAAAATTTTGCTTTCGTTATATAGTCCATTCAATTTGTGTTCGCTTGGCCTACTTATGTTATTTTTATTTTTTCGTAGAAAAAATTTTAAATGAAGATGAGGAACATTTATTTATTTACTGTTTGGTTGGTTTGACGATGACATTCATTGATCTATTCATTCCTTCATTCGTTCGTTCGTTCGTTCGATCGTTCGTTCGATCGTTCGTTCGTTCATTCATTCATTCACTCACTCACTCACTCAATCACTCATTCATTCATTCACTCCTTTGCTCATTTTCCAATCGTTCATTTTTTCATTCATTCAATCGTTCGTTTGTTCACTCATTCGGATATTCGAAATAATAACGAAGTTGTTGTTGTTGTTATATGTTGACTTTTCAAACATTCAAGTAAAAATTTTGCAAACCTTTTCTTGAATACGTCTTTTGTTATAATAATAAAAATAAAAATAATTATAATAATTATTATTATTAATTAATAATAATAATTATTATTATTACTATTATTAGCATTATTTTTATTTAATGTGGTAATTAAAAAATTTTTTTTTCTGAGTTTCAACGACAAGTGCATTTTCTTATGGCATCTATCGTTTGTCTGACATTTTCAATTTTTTAATTATAATAATAATTATTATATATAATTATAATAAAAATATAAATAACAATTATTATTATTATTATATTCATTATTTATGATTTCGTATGCCAGAAATACCCGTTTTCAAACTGGTTCTTCTAGTCCGAGTTTGTCTTGCCATGGAGACGCTCCGACTTATTTGAAAGAACAACTCCGAGTAGTTTCGGAAACTGCAAGTCGGTATCGACTGAGATAATTTCATCCATTAACATCAGTGTGACTGATATAAGTTTCAGCAGATGGAGATTCTGCAGTTGCTGTTGTCTGGAACAGCCTACCCATCGAATTAAGTTTATCTGGGTTATCATTAGCTGAGTTTAGGAAACGTTTAAAGACATACATATTTGGATACTCCTAGTGATCATGATCATGATCCTAGATGATAGCTTTGCTTTCATCTTGTCATCCCTCAGCTATTAGCAACTTCTACAAGGAGAGCGCTGATGAGAATCATTATTATATTTGGCGCTATATAAATTCAATTCAAAATTCAATCCAATGTATATTTATTTACCTGTGAAAAGATACAATTAAATCCTCTGTCGTGAAAAAACGAAATTTTTTTTCAGAGAACGATGCAAGAATATTCATTATTACTTATCTACACATTTGTTTATTTCACAGACGTTCTACCTGCGATACTCTCACGGACGTTTCACGTTCGAATGCAAGGGTAATCAGAACTGCGAAATTACGGTGACCACGAGAATACAGTGCAAGTATTGCAGATTTATGAAGTGCAAAGCAGTCGGCATGGTCAAAAAATGTTAGTACCTTTACTTCGAATTATAATTATTATTGTTACTGTTATAATTATTATTTATTGATAATATTATTATTATTATTTGTATTGTATTAGGTTGTACATGTTGTGGGCAAGAGAGTTGACTCGTTCATTTTATCATTTAATTAGTTTTAAAACGGGTTCATTGGTTTTGTAGAATTACAAAAAATATGGCGATATTTTGAAAATTTAAATTTACATAGTTTTGTATTGAAAATTAGATTTGTTAATTAACGTCATTATTTTTATTATTACGGAGTACTATTTATATTATTATTACTATTATTATTGTTTTTTTTATCATTATTTGTAGTAGTAGTAGTAATAGTATTAGTAACAGTAATAGTCGCAACATCAGTAGCGGTAGTAGTGGTAGTAGTAGCAGCAGCAGTAGTAGCGATTGTAGTTGTAGTTGTTGTTGTTTTGTTTTTGTTGTCGTTGTTTTAGTAGTAGTAGTAGTCGTAGTCGTAGTCAAAGTAGTAGTAGTAGTAGTAGTAGTAGTAGTAGTAGTAGTAGTAGTAGTAGTAGTAGTAGTAGTAGTAAGTCTTAGTTGTTGTAGTAGAAGTTGTATTTTTAATGATGATAAAAATATTTTTATTTTTATCGTTCATATGAAAAATTATGGATTAATAATGATGACAATATCAATTTTCAATGGTGGTTATTTACATAGCTTTTTCTAATTGTGGGCGTTGTGGGCGTATGTTTATTGACGTTGTTTCAATTTTATCTTAGTTTGTGTGTGTGTGTATGTTTGCCTGTGTGTTTGCATGTGTGTGCGTGTGTGTTTGCTTGTGTGTGTGTGTTTGCCTGTGTGTGTGTGTGTGTGTTGGTGTGTTGGTGTGTTTGTCTGTGTGTGTGTGGGGGGGGACATATTCGTTAATGTTTGTTAAGATGTGTTTATGAGATGTTTTCTGTGTTTACCTTGCTCCTATGGTTTCTGTTTCTGCATCATAATTATCAGCCTAATTATGTTCCATAATTATATTAATTATAATTATATTTAAAAACTTACCAGGGTTTTTTTTCTGCGTCAGGTCCTGTATAAATATATGTATGGTTGTCTGTCTGTTTGTGCTTTTTGTCAATCAAGAAGTGCACTGCATAATTATTATTTGCTTATTATTCTTCATGTATAATTATATGTAATTGGGGAGACTGTATAAGTGGATAGATATGTAAATGTTTCTTTTTTTTCTTTCTCTCTCTCTCTCTCTCTCTCTCTCTCTTTCTCTGTCTATTTCTCTCTAAATATATATGTATATAAATATATGGAATATATAAAATTATACAAAAACTTGCCCGGTCTATCAATAGTTTAAAGTTTTTGAATAAATAATCATTTTGTCGCATTTGGACCAGGGTATCAGTACGTCTGCTTGTACGTGACTATGTTTCTGTGAGTGTGTTTTGTGTAGTGTGTGTGTGTGTGTGTGTGTGTGTTTGTGTGTGTGTTTGTGTGGCGGCGTGTATGTGTCTTTCTTGGACATCGTAATGGTATCTAATTAACACTTGTCAACGAATGGCAATGCAATATGATAGGGCCTCCCCTTGTTTGAATGCATGCAAGGTCATGTCACTTTCATTTTTTTAAGGTGAAGGTGGGAGTGACTTATTTGCATATTAATTAGAGAGGTATTGATTTCAATTTTTTTCAATATTGCTACAAAAAATTGTTCCTTCTCTAAACTGAAATTCGTGAAAAAATAATAAGCAGGAAGGCCCAATTTGATTGAAGCAAGCGGTGAAAACATTGAGATATATTTCTGCTATCTAGTAGGTACCTACTTAGAAAAATCTTAGCAATAAATCGTGATGATATTTCAATTTCCGCCTTATGTATTTTTTTCATTGACTTGTCTTTATTGCTTACCACTGCCATAAATCCATTCTTGGGTAATTTTTAAATAACACTCTATAACAAAAACTTTTTCTAAAAATTGTTTATATTTTGTCTTTTTAAACAGTTTTTTACTACTACAAACAAACAGAAACCATTGAATCAGCATGGAAGAAAGTTAAAAGAACTTTTTTTTTATTTAGGAACAGACAGACAGGCAGGCTTCATCTATTTAGTTAACTCTTTCGCGAGTCTGCCATGTGCGTACGTACGTAAGCAATTATACAATAATGTTTCTTTTTAAGTAAAATGTTTTTATTCCCTATTTATCATATTTTCTACGATGTCTGATGAAATGAATCTCTGACATTAACCGGCATGAACGTGTGTTTACTTATTTGTTTACTAGTACTGGATTACATAATTTGTGTACGTGTGTATATGTGTGTGTGTGTATGTATGTGTGTGTGTCTGTGGGTAAATTGGTGCGTTTGTATTCCTATGTGTGCGTGCAAGTGTGTGTATGTGGCGTGTAAATATGTGTGTATATACTTACATGCCATTGTGTTTGACTTTGTGTGTGTGTGTGTGTATATGTGTGTGGTGTGTATGTGTGAGAGAGAGAGAAAGAGTTTGTTTTTAAATGATTCAGTTTGTGAACAAAATAACAAAATAATTATAAGAACCATGCCCTAGTTTGAAGATCATGATGGTAATAAAATAAATAAATAAATAAATAAAATGACAAGGCAAATAATACAAACGACTAACAACAACAACAACAACAACAACAGCAGCAACAGAAAGGAAGAATGATCTGAAATTAAAATAATGATGATAGTACTTCAATGTGTGACATAAAAATATGCCATTTGACAAAAGTGTTAAACATTAATTAAGTAGGACCAATGGTACAAATTGATGATCATTCTAGATTATTATTATTATCATCATCATCATCATCATCATTATTATTACTATTATTATTATTATTATCATCATCATCACTATTCATCCATCCGTCTATCATCTGTCTGTCTGTCAGTGAAAATAAGAAAGTAGATGTTGTATAGAATGATTAGCCAATAAGAATCCAAATAATAATAAACTGTAATAGAGATAATAATAATTGTAATAATAATAATAATGGCAATAATAATAATTATTATTACAACATAAATAACAATAATAATATTATTATTAATAATCATCATCATAATGATTATATTTAACTATATTGAAAAGAGATGTTTTTTGGAAGTATAAGCATTGTAGGGATAATAAGAATAAACAAACAATGATAAAAATATTTATTATTAGTATTTTTAATTATATTTTATTATTATTATAATTATTATGAATAAAATGAACTACCGTTATTGAAAATTCAGTTTTTGTGTCAGAGGCCTAGTTTTATTTTCGGAGCACGTTCGCCAGTCAAGCCGTCTGCTCGCGGATTTTGGCGGGAAAACGAAACGAAATAGAGGTCGTGCGAGTTGAAAGAACATCCATACAAAAATACAAACCTACAAACATACACACACATACATACGCATACATATACACACACATACACATGCATACATACACACACATACTAAAAAAATACATACATATATTTTCGCTGCTCTACATACATATATACACACATACATACACTCATACATATAACATACGTACGTACACTATACGTATATATACATACAAAACCACATAACATACATGTATACAAACATACATTTATATAACTTCTCATACACACAAACTTATGTACAAATAGACACATAATGATTTTTTTTTAAATTAAGATGGATGGATAGATGGCTGGAGAAGAATGAAATGAAATATGGTGGTTAGGCATGGAATGGTTTCTATCTGGGTTGATCGGTCGTAAAACATTATCTGGTACAATATAAGCAAATATATATATATGTGTGTGTATGTACGTGTGTGTGTATCTGTATATGTATGTACGTGTGTGTATTTTTGTATGTAAGCTTTAATGTATACAAAAATGTTGACGATGAAGTTGCTAATATTGATGATAATAACACAATTCATATACACACAAACACACACACACAAATAATAACACACACACACATAGGATTTCTTATTTGAGACGATGATTTGCATATATCTATGTTTGAATAATTTGAGATGATAATTTTTTTTTAAATATATATGTTTGTGTTTGTTTGTCAGATGATTTTATACCAATATTTGAATATCTATTTATTGAAAAAAATTTTTTTTTCTTATTTAAACTGTCAGCAAAAACGAAACTAAACTGTTGAAATTATCTTTAATGATTTACAATCTCAATCTTTGGCTGGTCGTCTAAGTTTAAGAAGCTCCCTCACATGTCAAAATTACGGACAAAATTAGCATGTAACATTCATATGCCATGTATTCATAAACACTCACACACACACATACACAACACCACTTTTTTTCTTTTTCTTTCTCTCTCCATCTTTCCTCTTTCTCTCCTCTCTCTCTCTCTCTCTCTCTCTCTCTTTCTCTCTCTCTCTCTCTCTCTCTTTCTTATAACTTCCTGCAATGGACAGATTTGTTATCCGTACAACAAACACCACATAAGATACACATAATGCATATATAATTAAGTAGGTACACATGCCCATGTATGTCAAGATTCAAATAGAAATATATGTAATTATGAAATAAATAGAAAGTCGTGACTTGTTCTTGCAACATCTTGTCTCTCTCTTTCTCTCTCTCTCTCTCTTTCTGTGTGTGTGTGTATGTGTGTGTGTGAAATAGGTACAGGTTGATTATGTAGAATCAAATTATATTATCATTCCCAGGTCTTTTTATCAGCTTGAAATCTTTTCATGGCACCGTATAATTAATTATAAAATCATCATCGTCACCCATTCAATAAAACTCCTTTGATTCACTCATTGCAGTGTGTATGTATGTGTATGTATGTCTGTGTGTGTGTATGCGTGTATGTGTATATTACTTCAGAATTCACACATACTTTTCACGTCTTGCACCTGACTGATGTGTCCTGTATACAAAGGTACACTCTGTATTTATGCGTGTGTGCAAGTTTGGTTTTGTCTACTTGCCAGTCTGTATATTTTACTAATATCATTGCTTTTGTTA